CACACACACACACACACACACACACACACACACACACACACACACACACACACACACACACACACACATTAGAGCCCAGAAGACGTGTGTGTGTCTCTATCTGAGCACATGTCCGTGTACATTGCACAGTGGCATTTGCACAAGTTAAAAGCAAACAGACTACAGAGGGTCCAGTGCTGCCTGACCACCAAAACAGAATCTACATTATCAACTGTGAACCAGATGCAACCTGTTTGAAAGGTGAACAAACATATTGGATGATTTATAGATGTACAAATATGACGTTTTTAATTCGAAGATTAAAAAAACTAAATATTTTAGGCGAATTGTGTGTGTCTTTTGTGATTTTATTTGTTCAGCTTGCAGGCTCAATGCTGCCCACATGGGAGAGAAAGTGAGTCACACTGCAGCAACTTCTAACCGGAGAGGAAAGATGGGGATATAGAGTCAGTCAAAGCAGACTATGGGGCTTCTTAAAGGGATGTCCAAAACACCCCATTTGAACTTAATATAAGAAATGATATATCTCCACTCCCATGATTGGGATGTAACAACATCTGCTCTGTAGAAGAATAAATGTAACTTACCTCAGACAAAGTTCCCTGTGTGGCTGCGGCTCCTTGCTGGAGAAAAACGTTTGGCTCTCTTAACTCGCTGTCTTCATCCACATGAATCTGAGCCACGCTGTCTTTGCACTGAGGCTGCCGTCCCTCTTCTCCAAAGTCTCTTCCCATACAGACCGGGCTCTCCCATCAACCCTAGGCTTTTTATAGAGATCCCGTAGTAACTAGTGGGAACGGGGGAGGGAGGGAGAGAGGGAGAGCTCATTCAAAGATTCACCTACACATGTACGCGCGTATCCCACGTCATTGAGCGGAGTGCAGCTAGGGGGAGGGAAAAGTATATCCTGAATCACTGTCTTTAAAAAGAATGATGAAAATAGTTTTGTTGTGTTTATGGCTTTTTGACTATATTTGAGGTGTCAAATATTAAAAGCTCTTCTGAGAATGTTGCTCTGAGGTACTCGTGACTTGAATTTCCACGATCTCCTTATAACAGCCTATTTATCACTTAAGTATCCAAATTCGCAAAGGATGCATTTCACATTTTTGTCACATTTTTCTCCCAAGAAGACATGCTGTGCTTCACTCAGAGGATAGGCTCGAGTTGATCATTTGTTAAAATATTCGAAAATCAGTCTAGCAGATCTCAATTTTCTCTCGTTGTATTGGAGATTTTTTTTTTTTGTATGTATTCCTAAAGCTGACACAGTCGAGTATGTTCCAAATGTGTTAACCAACTAATGATAGCGATAAGTAAATCGTGATGTTTAGATGGTGATTCACAGCAGCTGCCTGCTCAGAGTGACAGAAAATGTTTGGTGCAGTGCACAGTTTTTTTATACAGATGTAATTTCAGAAATAAAATAAGGTCCAAATAGCCAACCCAGATTCCAAATAAGCTGTAGAAACATGACAGGACTGTTGCGTAAAGCAACCCCGACACCGTTGAGCTCACAATGTTCACTCAGAGGAAACAATTGGGGGAGACCCTTGTGCGTAAAGAAGTGTGTCAGACGGACGTAGGCGTGAGCACTGAGAGTCTCCTGCTGTAAGTTAGACGCACTTTGGACGCAGAACTTAAAATATGTATTTTTCAAAATGTCCTTTTGAGTTGAAGAAGCCCAGAGTCACATGCAGTGGAAGTGGAAATAAACACTTTATGGCCCTGCGATCCTCCTAACACTCGCCAGGTGAGGATTATGATCCGGCTCCAACACACACGAACACACACACACACACACACACACACACACACACACACACACACACACACACACACACACACACACACACACACACACACACACACACACACACACACACACACACACACACACACACACACACACACACACACACACGCACACACACTGAATACATCAGAGGTGAATTCGCTCGTGGATTTTCAAAATAAATGTAAGTTGTAATTCAAATAACAATTTTAAGTAAAACTGAATTAAGCATTTCCAATACATCTTGAGGCTTTATGATTTGAATGTGCCACAGAATGCAGAATCAAACATAACTTAAATGTTATCAAGAGCAAGTTCAATATCCTAGGTCCATCCATCCTCTCCCACTTATCCGTGGTTGGGTCGCAGAGGTAGCAGTTCCTATGCAAGGTGGGATGTGAAAATGTTATAATTAATCATGTGTACAACTATTATGTAATTTATTACGTTGTAAACCTTTTTCCGTGGTACATTGTTTCAGTTCGTGAATGAATGAATGACCACCTCATTAAAATAAACAGCAGGGAACACTGTAGTGATGATGCGCTGCTTGAGATCCTCTTTATTCATCACTACTACTTCTTCCTCCCCCTTCTGTTCCTCAAGGTTATCAAGGTCACCCCCGCTGAGTGTTCACGTCATCCGTGAAGAGGCTGCAGGACTCCAGAAAATAAGAATCCAGAATTTCCTGAGCTTGATTTTGTTTTTAACCTTGAGGGTTATCTGTGCAGCACAGGGGTTACAATCTCTTTTATTCATTATCTGTAACATCCCCTGTTTAATTATGACCATGGTTGTTCCATTCCTCCCTGTCTGTATACTATACAAACACATCGCCATATGAACAGACATTTCCATTTTAAGGGGTTATTTTCTTTGATAGATTATGAGCAGTTTAGATATTTCAACACTTGAGAGTTAGTCATTTTTTCACACAACTCAAAGATTGTTAACAAGAAATTAAAATAAAAGGGTTAATAATACAGATGTTTGTTTAAATATGATCAACTTTTTGAAAGCATTGGTTGATTTGCAGATATATTCATAACCTTAAAAATGCAGCATATTGTTTTCAAGGGATTACATATCTGCTTGTATGGATGTCAGAAAGATGACGCAAAATGATGTATTGATTGTTGCTCACTCCACTCGTGACTTTAAAATCTACATTCCTATCCCTAGAGGCAACACTCGGGTACGTTTTTATACTCATCAGAAGAAAAAAATCCTTGCAGCAGGATAAGAAATCAACAAAACACCCACAAGTGCAACTTTTTCTAACACTGTTGTTAGATTTTGGTCAGTGGCTTGTGCTCTACTTTTCAGAGTGAACTTGCCTCAGAAATACTTGCAAAAAGAGGAGGAGTGTGAACCTCTCAGAACTGTAGAATCTCCAATGACTGTATCCAAAGAGTGACATAAATGTGCTGACGTGTGGTTGAGGGTAAGCAGTGTGCCAGTGTGTGCACAAGCATCCAATTCCCTCACACTACACCCCACATGAATATGCAAGCAGGAGGGATGAATGACGGAAAATGTGTGAGTGAAGAAGTTGCTGACTTACTCCCTCCCTAATCTTACAGTCCCTCTCATTACAGGCCTCATGTTGCCGTAAAAACACACACTCTAACAGGATCACATAGTTTTACTATATCTCTTCTATAGCTTAAATGTTATCATTTGTTAGCGTAACCCGTATGCGACTTGTTTGGACACCGAGTGATCAGCCCTCAGTAAGCCCGCCCTCAACAACACATTAGGATGCAGATTATTTACTGTTCAAATCTTTGATCTGTCATGCCCAGTTGTTGGCTTGCTCTGTATCTCCTCATCTGTATTCCAAACAGAGACTGCAGTCAGATGAGAGAGAAAAAAACACAAATTCATCCCTCCCATAAACTCTCCTCTCTCCTCACAACCGCCTACCTCGCCTTCCCACCTCCCTTTCTCCCATTCTGACTCATACTGACATCCCAGTGAGCCTCCTCTTTCTCCCCCCTCCACCCCATCCCTCCACTCTCATTTGTGTTTTCTCTCCCTTTGATTGCCAAGCTGGCACGAATGCAATGAACAGGGCAAGAGAGAACGAGCAAATGAAAAGAAAAGATAGAGAGGGAGAGAGTAGCGGAGGGATGGAGACAGCGAGGAGGAGGTGGAGGAGGAGGAGGAGGAGGAGGAGGGAAAAAACGTGCCCATAATGAGGATTCCGTCAAAGGAGAGCAGGGGAGGAGGAGTGCGTGTGTGTGTGGTGGTGGTGGGGGTGTGTGTCGGAGTTAGATGGATGTTTGGAAAGAGTGGGTGGTTATTAGTGAAACCCCTCTCGCCCCCGCGTCGTTACGTCTCCGTGCTCTTCTCTCCTGCAAGATATGTGATGTACCAAACCCACACTCACACACAGCAGCAACTCCACATCCACCCCCCCCCCCACACACTACACACACACACACACACACCACACATACACACACACACACACACACCAGCACACCACACACACACCACACACACCACACACACACACACACACACCACACACACACACCACACACACACCAAGCTAGAGACGACATGTTGTGAACTCATATCTAAAACTTAAATTATGTGTGTAATGGCTCTGTGTACTCCCTCCAGAACATGTGTTCCTCTGCCTCTGCAGCCAATTTAAATAGCTCCAGATCAATTCGACTCCTGATCCCCCAACTACGCTGATATAACATGACAACATTTTCCATGATACATTTAACAGGAGCACTCTGTGGCAAAGAAAGATGCCGACACAGCGCTCGTCATTTTGACAGACTGTGTCGCATCAGTCGCGTCGTCTCGTCTACTCCGCTGCAACTCTCACACAGGTGGAACTCATACAAAAACTTCACAACATTATGCCAAAGTCAGTATGGTGAATGTAATTAGCGGGCAATGCCAGCTGGTGTGTGTGTGTGTGTGTGTGTGTGTGTGTGTGTGTGGTGTGTGTGTGTGTGTGTGTGTGTGTGTGTGTTGTGTGTGTGTGTGTGGTGTGTGTGGTTTGTGTGTGTGTGTGTTGTGTGTGTGTGTGTGTGTGGTGTGTGTGTGTGTGGTGTGTGTGTGTGTGTGTGTGTTGGGGGTTCCTCTTTTGTGTTCAGGTATCGAGGACCGTGTTTCATTGAACATCTCCAGAATATTTTCAGTATTGAGACATGTGTTCTATGTTCACCCTGTCGTCATAGGTCCTACTCCATGTCCGTGGTAATTAATTGTGTCAACTGTTATATACATTATCCCATTTAAAAAAGACGCCCAAGAATTTTCCAGTTTCTGGTGTGAATTCAGCTATACTAGAACCCAATACAGCTTCACTACTGCTCACTGTGGGGCCATTCATCTAAGGATCCGCGCTGTGGCAAATCACTTTCATTTTCACTGTGTTCCAAGCCTTCGTCTCCCCATTATTAAAAACAACTCAGTTAAAGCATGTAGCCACCTCTCACAAAGGCCCGTCTAACTGGTTTTACAAGATTTGGCCCCATATCAGTGGCAGGCTGACGCTGTTGAAGTCGCACCATTCTTCTGGCAAGTAAGTTTATGTTCGGATGGCTAAGAACTTTATAGCGAGGGTCCCAACCGAAAAGCATCCAAGTACTTTGCGATACTGGCTGAATTCGCAGCACAAGATTGAATACAGGACATTCATATTTGATTAAACAAAGGACTCTCATTTAAAACTTTCAGGGTTTAAAACTCTTTATTATAATATCATTTCAATCATTTGGAACCAAGTTTGACTAACAATAACGAATGTGTTAGTGCAGACAGTGTAAAACAGATGGTTCAAAACAATCCC